CATCCAGCCATCTGAAAGGCTGCAAAGCGCAGAGTTGTCCGCAGAGCTCCGCCTCGTTCACTGTTCCTATTATCAGAGCACCAATATAAATACGATGGTGAATACGCATCCCATGCCCTTGGACACCCATCGCTTGGGTTGTCCCAGACACACGAGTGATTCCAGCGCGCAGTATACTACACTACAGGTCATACAACATACGTGCCCTTTCGGGTGTCAGGTGAGGATTGGCTCGCAGAAAATTTGTTTTGGTAATGTTGGCTTTACACTTGAAACCCAACATGCCTTAGTGTTCAACAAGTGCTTAACCTGTGTGCGCATAAAGTGCATTATTTCCAAGTGGCACGACACATGTTGTACTAGTTCCGGGTGCATGTTATACAACATATTCTGCAGCATTGATTCTTGTAAACAGTACGAACCGGTACTATGTTTCCGTTATCCCCTTTACCGAACTGATGTTGCTCTCTGCGCAAAAGCATTATCCCTTTCCATAAATGAGCAAAAAGTGGCTACAAATCTCACTTGAGATGCATCGCTTGCCTTCTTATGATAGTTTTTAAGGCATCGTACGTTTGGCTCACAGTTTTTTCCGCAATCCTGTTTTCTTCATATCAAGCAAACGCGGATGCCTGCGGTTGGTCTCATGGTATTGTTTTCATTGCAGAGAGAAACAAACTTGACCGTGGACAACTGCGAATTTACTGGCAACATCGCTCGGTTTGGCGGGGCCGTTGAATCGTGGGTGAGCCCAGTGCACTGAGGCCGCACAGGATCGAGTAATTGCGCCACATTTGCACAATGCTTTCTGACTTTGACTTGGAATTCCGCACCTCACCCATCGTTGCAGTTTCTCCTTCCGAAAACTTCATTAAATGAATACACATGCCGCTACTTTTCATATGGAAAGAGATGAACGATGATACAGTATTGTGGCCGCACGGCCATTGAAAATACCAGCAAAGCCCAGAAAATTCTCATGTGCCCACATTGAAAGCCTTTCATATGTGTGCCCGTATGCTTCAGTGATGAGACACCGGACGTGCTGCATCGCTATTCGGCATTGCATCAATGATGCTGCACGCTGCACTCTACAGTATCATCATCTACCCGTTTTCAAGATGTTGCGCAGATCCCATGTCACATGCTGCACAGGAGACTTGCTTTCCTTCTGCTGTGACTGCCAAGCAGATAGCTGCAATTGTCCGATTGCGATGTGTCTATGGCATTTTTCGTCTTGGGCATCATCCACGGATGCAAAATTCTTCAGCGTGCATTATGAGATTGTTGCTTCTATTTGATGCAACTCGCGCAGCTTCTGTTGGATCAGGGGGGATGGAGGGTGGTATTTTTGAGAATTCTCTTGGGCGCCCACCATGTTTCAGAATTGAATCCACAGTTGTGCGCAATTATCATGCGCATTCGACATTATGCGCCAATTGAGTTCATCGCTATTCAACGTTCCTAGTTTCTTTGGCTCACAGTCAACTGTGACTTGCCATTCGCACATACACTCGTGCGCTGATCTACTTTCAGAAACGTTAAATACATTGCGCAAAATAGCTTCACTGCTGCAGAGGGTCTGCACTTTCCGCTCTGTGCTCAAACAGGCAGCGTCCGATGCTCATTCTCTTTCTTTGTTTCATCGGTTGTTTTAGAATGGAGGGGTCGCAACTCAGTGCGTTTCATTGGTCGGTCGCTGCCAGACGTCTTTTTTTCACTGCGCCGTGCATTTTTTCCCACACATATTTCACCTTTTTGCCATTTGAACTTAAATGTGCGCAAATGCCATTTACTGACGTGGCAATTCTGCCACACCTCATAAATGCACCAATTCGCCAATACCTTATACGCGCGTTTCTTCAATTCAGATCAATTTTTATGCAAGACAAAAGGCAGATGTGTTTATTGGGAGCTTTGTTAATCCAGTGCTACACTTGCCGCAGGTATTTGGAAAAGCGGAAATAATGTTTTCTACCTTCACTGGCAACCAGGCTACAGTTGCAGCCGCGATCTTGAGCCTGTCTGTGAGTGCAACGACCATCTAGGACTCCCTTGATGAAATGCAAAGATTTGGAGAGACCTCCAGCCCTTTGCAGTATTTACGCGTACCAAACGAATCTGTTTATTTATTTACTTTTTTAACGCAGTAAAATACAATGTTGTGTTAATAGTATTCATTATATTGACGAATTCAATTCATTTAATAATACAAACCACTGAAAAAATGTAGTATGATGTATTGATACAATAAATATTGCATTGGTACAGATCAAATGGCAAAGAAATTTTAAGCTCGAGCCAGTATTCATGAAGATTTTATATTGCGCAACAATAGTTTAATTGTTTATAGACATGGATGAGTATCCAGAACCTTTGTTCAGGTGTAGGAGTATGTATTGTTAATGGCATCAAAATGGCGCTCAAGTGACTGCGTTCGAAGCACCGTCAGAGCCACCGACGGAAACTGCAAGTGAATGCGGCACGGCATGCGCAAGCATTGAACATTTCATGATTGTTTGCGTCAACGCGACGTAAGAAAATAAACTTCTAATGTGTTCAAGCAGAAGCTATACCCCATGTCGCATATAGAACGCATCTCAATGTAAGCTGCTTTGCTTACATAATACGCACATTTGAATAGAAGCTGGAGTTTCATTCAGTTCCCTAGGTCTTGTTGCATTTGTTTGTCGTTTCCATGGCTTGACTTGCCTAATTGGAACAATTTGTCCATTATTCAAACAAATAAATGAGTGAATTTTCAAGGAACTGGAAAAGCAAAAAAAAATAAAGTACAGAGCGGCTGAACATTATGTCTTCAGCCCGTTGTGGCTCAAAATTCAAAGATGTTGACATCTAAATTTGTAGTGGTGATCCAGCTCTAAACCTACATGGTTCACAGCACAAAACAGTCGTGAGATGTGCTTGGCATGTTCGCAGACTAGAACTGTACCGTCAACTATTGCTATGTCAAATTTCATCAAATTTCTGTCATTGACTTCATATTATGCTTTTTTGTGTCACAGCAAAGCCAAGCGGTGGTGGCCAATTGCGATTTTCAAAGCAATGCTGCCGTTGCCGGTGGGGCTATCGTTACTTGGGTGAGTCTCAGACGGCAAAGGGGTCCGTATTTTCACCTTTACTCTGCTTTCAGGGAACTTTCTGCATCTTTTTGTTATGTTGCTGCTCTCATGTTGATCTTCTCAGATGTCAAAGCCAGATGCGTCAGAGGTGAATTCAATGTTGGACTTGCGCTTCACGATGGAGCAGGGATTCCCTGCAGGGGGAGGGATTCCAAATATAGGTTCCGGATCTAGGTAGGAAGGATTCCGAATCTAGGGGTCTTAGGTTCCGAATTTAGGTTCCGAATCTAGGGGGAGGTATTCCGAATATAGATTTCGCGTCTAGGTAGCAGCGCATTTCGTGCATTAATAGTGGAGCTGCTGGACTCCAGCAGGCTCTGGTATGGTAAGAAATCGGACTTTTGTTCGGTTAAGTCGCTGCTTTTTCCCAGGGCGAAGTGGATGCTATGTTGCGCACACGTGAGGGGCCGGTGGACTGATCATTGTACGCGACTTTCATAGTGTGACCTGAGTAGAAATGTAAATACAGACGTAAAAATAACTCCTTTTGCAAAATTCTTATTTTCGCGTAAATGCCAAAAGCAAAAGCGTAAATGTCGTAAACGTAAAAATAAGCCCAAAGTTCAGTATGTACGCAGTGATTGCCGATGTTTGTGTGTGCGTTTTCATGTATAGCTTGCATCGACCTCGACTGTCCGTTCACCACTAACAGAACCTCAGAAAATTCGATTTCCAACCTAGATTTCGAATTAAAAAAATGGAAATTCTGTTGCTATATGCAGCTAGTCACCACATTCAACCTTACGGATTGCTACTTGGGCTTCAATCGTGCTGGAATTGCCGGTGGCGCCATATCTGTTCTGGTAAGTGTCCATCACCACCTGAACGCTTGCATCCATGCAATATGCCAAAAACTATACATTGCTAAAGCCATTGCTGACAAAAAAAGGCATGGGCAGATTTCCATACACATATAAATAAAGTCTGTGTAGACATGTGGGCGCACTAGGGTTATCTTTGGATGAAGGGAAGTGTTTCGTATGATAGAAGTACAGTAGCATACATCTAATATCCAGGATGTGGGAGGCGCTTATGTCTCCTACGACATGCTGTACCTCATTGTTTATTGAAGAAATTATAAGCAATTAAGTTATCAGGAAACTATGACAAATCATGACCAACGACATGGTGCACCTCATTGTTTATTGAAATTACGATCAATGTGACTGTTCAAATCCTGCATATGACCTGGATCTGGGCAGTATGGACATAACATTCACTTTGCATGTCCTTGGCGCTAGTCATCGAGCACTGCTTCCTCAACTCTTTTTGGGTGTGGCCTTGGGGTATATTGCAGCATTACGTGAGAAGACATGCAAGTTCATGTGCACGAGTGGATGAGCGGCAAGACGAGTAAAGTACACAATGCACACCTAAATGAGAAAATGCGAGACACCAACGACACCATTTAGCGTCGCCATCGTCAAAACCCATTTTCCTGGCTGTTGTCGATGCATTTCTATTACCCAAGTGACAAGGAGGAAGGGAAAGCCATGTGCGGAGGAGGGAATGTAGATGCTATACTGTCCCACCCCTCGCGTGACCTTCGCTTGCCCATTCTTTCCGTTGGCAGTTTTCACGCACTCAGAACGTTGTCGTTAGTCTGCTTGTGAATGAGAATATTCCCCATTGAATTGCCTGCACTTGATCACTGACAAGCTTCGTTCGTTCGCATGCAAATAGACACCTCCCACCGAGAATCTCCAAAACATCGTTCGAATCGAGCGTGTGCTCTTTCACTCCAATGGAGCAGGCTTGAGGGTACCAAACAACATTGACTTGCCACCCCCTGAAAACATTTCAAGCTCCGGGGGTGCCGTGTACCTGGGCGACATAGCTGCTTTCCAGGAGCGTTTGATGGAAGATGGCATAGATCTAACCGATGTTTGGAGTCCGGACGGTGTTGCCAGCACGTTCACAGAGATTCTCAGCAAGCCCAGAGGGTTCCTGCAAGCCGAACTGTGCAACGTCTCCTTTGTCGGCAACACGGCCAAGAGTGGCGGCGCAGTGGCCGCCCTGCGCACAAATTTGTTGTCCATGTCTCGTGTCAATTTCTCCGGGAATGTGGGCGGCGACGGTGCGGCGCTGTACATCGAAGCTGACGGGGATCTGGACCCTCAGCAGTTTAGGGCGCCCAATCATTACGTCAGCGGCACCAGAGTGTCGTTCGTCAACAACTCGGCAACGAGGAACGGGGGAGCGGTGTTCCTTAGGGCCACCTGCGCTGGGGCAGGGCTCGATCGGATTGGCATATCCCCTGTCAACGTATCTGTCCTCACGGAAGAAGGGCGCAACAACAATGAGGATGATGTGTTTTTCGAAAAGAGCGAATTCGTGAACAACAGCGCGCTGAAATCTGGAGGCGCGTGGCGCGCGACGACAGGCAGGGCGGGCTGCAGGGACTGCCAGTTTGAGGGCAACTTTGTCAGCGAAGTTGGCGGCATAGACGGGACAGGGGGGGCTCTTTCTCTCACAGACCAGGCGTCGTTCCATGGAAGAGGGGTGACGTTCAGACGCAATTCTGCCACCAACGGTGGCTGTGTGCATGCGGAGAACTCCCTCGTGGACGTTGTAGATGCCGACATAGATCTCAGCAGAGCTCAAAAACACGGGGGCGGAATTTACATTCACATTCCCGCTGCAGCGTCTTTCAGGTTTGGGCTCCTTGCACGAGTCAGCAGCGCTCGCTTTCGGGGAAATTTTGCAAGAGTCGGAGGTGGGTGGTCACCCCAACTCGGGAATTGACATTTCGGAATTTACGCATCTTTGTGAATCCTTCAATTGCACAATTTCACACATTGCACAATCGAGGTTGCACGATCTTGAGCCTTCGTATCAAGCGTTTGCTTCTTAGTTGCAGAACACGCTCTCCAAATCTCGCTGTGGATCCTTTTCGTTGGTGTAAATGTGAGCAGCAGTATGTACAACATCATACGTTTACACCATCTTCCGACTATGCATGAGATGTCGTTGCAACACGTACTATATCATTTGATCAGATGATTTCCAGTTCTGAACATTGCATTAACCATATGTCGCGACTGTGTGTTCTACGCACCGCTCACATGCAGGGCAACATTATTTATAATTTGTTTGCATTGTCTTCTTGCGTACAATAAATGATGCTGTTAAATAACTATTGCGTACAAGCATCTACCACACGTTCTGCAGCTCCATTTCTTTCGTTATTCTCATGCTTGTTGGTGCTGTGTGCAAGAGTGACTGTTGAGAGTGGCTGTGCCCAGCATCACCCAAAAGGCTGAACAGCAGTATTTCTAATGTGTTCCACCCATGCCTGAAAAATCTCTCCAACATGCTGCTCCAGGTGGGCTTTATTTTCTAATGGATGAAGGTTCCAGCGGATCACAGGACCCAAGAGGTGGGTTCATGGTCTTGGCGCAGAGCGCCTTCATGAACAATGCTGCTGACATGGCTGGAGGGGCCATCTTCACCAACGCACCAGAGGCTCTCGATGTGCTGTGCAATTCTGACTTACGAGTGATTGAGTCGTTGGGAAATGACACCAGGACAAGTCGTCCTGGAGTGGATGGCATCCAAAGAGTACCGCCAGTGAGGGTGACAGACAGGCCTGACATCTGTGGCCAGACCTGGTCGGGAAATTCAGCTGCCAAGGAGGATGGAGGCAACGTGTTGGCAACGACTGCTGTCAAGGCGATGGTTTGCAAAGACTCGCCAAGATCATGCGTGAATCAGGGAGGCACCATAACGGTAGCTAACCACACGAGTGGTGGGGTCCTTGAGGCCATCAGTGTTGAGCTCATTGATGCATTTGGCCGCCCGGCATTTGGCCAATCCACAGTGCTTCTCCGGGCGACTACCAATGAGACGGATTCTACCCTGGGAGGCGCGGTCATTGCCCAGATTGGAGCCAAGTCGCGGCTCACGAGCATTCGCCTGCAGGGGTCAGTGAACAGGACCCACAACTTCACGTTGTCATTTGATCCTGAGATCTTGCCCAGCATCAACATTGAGGTTCACATTCGAAGCTGCCTTGCAGGAGAATTCTTGGATAGCGGGAACGAGATCTGCCTGCAGTGCCCAGATGGACGGTACAGCTTTGGCCCTTCTCAGGGCTGCTTTGCGTGCCCGCCCAATTCCGATTGCAGGCCCTCGACAATCACACCAAAGGAGCACTTTTGGCACTCGACCTCACAATCGACGCAAGTACACGAATGCATACTGAAGGAGGCGTGCAAGTACAACGGCAGGGATGCTGCTTTGAGGGCGGCCGCAAGGGATGCACATGCAAACGGCACGTTTCTGGTGTATGATGATGAGAGATACCAGCAATGCAGACAGGTGATGCCTCCGAATTTGTTTGCAACTTTGGATTCCATCTGCTCCACAACGCACGGCGTTTAATGTGTTCCCAAATACAGAAGCATGAGATATGATGCAATATTCTGGATTCCCCCCAAAACTGCGTACAATAGAAGCGCCACAACGTTGTGGCGTTGTAGCGTTATCTTTGACATAGTGTGCTGAAGTTCTTCCAGTGGAGGCACTCCCGTGCACCACTCAATAGACCACAGGCGCTGCTGCCCCGTCCTCCGACATATGCAGCGAATTCCTGGAAGTTTCTTTCTCAGGGCATTTGCCTGTTTTTTCAGTCGAAGAGATGCAAGTTCCATCATTGTGATTGCTGCCATCTTTTGCTTTGAATGTATCCGTCGTTTCTCCCATCAGCATGATTCCCACCCCTGAGAGTAGTGAGAAACATCCTCTCCAATTGTTCAAACGAGCAACTTTGTCTGCAGAAAGAAGAGTCTGAGCATGGTGTATATTCTGTCTTCCTTAATTCACATGCACACCATGCCTTTAAGTCTCAAAACTTGCCCTTTATGGGATTCCTTTTCTTTTTACAAGTAAGCTAGGCCATCACTTGTGCTATCGTGTCCCGCCAGCACCAACTTTCACAATGTGCTTGAAAGCGGCGCCCAGCTGACACAATGAGATGCAAATGCAACTCCCAGGGCCATCGCGGAGTGCTATGTGGTGCTTGCGACAGCGCTCACGGCAAATCGAGATCCGGGCAATGCACGGCGTGTGGCGGCGCCGCAAAGGACATCGTTCTGCCTGTCATTCTGGTGCTGTGGTTTGCATTCATGTCTGCCATCATGTCAAGGAACGCTTTGGTGTCGGCCAAGAAAGCCAATCGCGTTGCATCCGCACCAATCAACAGGAACTCGGCATCAGGATCTGATGAAGGTGGAGCCATGAATGGGTTCAGTGGTGCAGGGAGCAGTTCCCTGCCGGGCATCATGGATTCCCTGCACTTGTACATAGGGGAGGGGAGACTCACCCCAGAGGGAGAGCTGGATGTTGAGGAGGCCAGTGTGAGCCGCCGCGGACGACAGATAAGTGATGGGAGCTGCACAGCGGACGTCTTCAAGGTAATTGAGTGCAGAAAACAGGAATTTGAATATTGACGCACAGCTTCTGTTCGGAGGTCTTGTCGGATCTACAGTTCGCATAAATGGAGATAAAATTGTGGGAAAAAGAAGGCTTGACAGAGGTAACATCGAAACGCTGTATTGAGGTGTATCAGCAGATCTTTCAAACGTAGCACTCTGCGACGCCGTCCTCGTAATTTTGTTGCCTCGCATGAAAAACTGTTCAAGTTTTTCATGAGAAATTGCATTTTTCATATGCCAGACATGTGTTTACCCATGGAGCCCCTGATTTGTATTTTGTTTCTCTTTTGTGAGAATGGACCCTTACGAATGCATCAGGCGCTGAATTTTGAATGGGGGCAGCGCTGCACGGCTGGTTGCTGCCCTGCGGCCAGTTAGCCAACCTGCTCATTGAGGGTGTGCGCGTTGTTGGGATGCTGTAGGTGCTCGTAAACTTCTTGCAGGTGACAGGAATTGCCATTTTCATCAACGCGAGCTGGACGTCATCTACACTCGGTGTGCTTGCAGGCGCAGGTGGGTATCGTGGTGCATTGGGAGCCTGCACCCAGTGTGCCTGCATCACTGAGGAAGGTGGCACCTGATTGACGTGTTGTGCATCATAGATGGGCGATTTGATCATTTTTGGATAGTGCTCAAACCGCAGATATTATCTTTCTGAGCTGCACAGGTTTGCTGTCAGTTCATGGAGAGTGTGCATGCGTTGAGTACACAAGAATGTGAACAATCGATCGTGTATGTACGATATCATCAATTCTGCCTACCGAGATGCCAAAAAACTGGAACGATATCGAGTGAATTGTGCATGAATGTTCAACCGCTTGCAAGTCCCCGTGCCGCCTACCCATTAACGAGTGTAAAATTTCAGACCCATTTATGGGTTCGCAATATTTAAATGACTACTTAAGTATTGGGGCAATGGCATATGTAATGGCAACATGGGCGTTGCACCTTGACCGTTTCAAAGCATACATTTTCATGCGCATTGCATGTTTTCTTCCCCGAAATGTCGAGGACGGGTCTGGACTTATATATCCTTCACACGCAGGTCACATATGATCATGAGCCAAAACGCGTTGCGCGTGCATAATTGCACAAAAATTAGGACAGCCATGTGCTCCCAAGTGTGTACTCACAATGTATAGCGGGCCTGAGTCTCAGGCCCGTGCACAGTGCCAATTAGACGTGTGCGCCGCATAGATGTGCATATGTAGGTAAGATGGAGAAGTCATGTTCATATACTACTAGTGTGAAAGCACACATACAAATACTTAGCAAAGTTCAGCCAGGTGGGATCTGTGAAACTTGTTGGACCATTAGTTCATTAGCTCCCCTGTTCTGCTTAGCTTTTAACGCCGCTTTTATTTCTTGACATGATGGCGCGACAGCAAAGGAACTATGTCGAGGGTACTAGATCGGAGGGGCACCAGGTCAGGCTGACCGATGCTGTGGTCTGCGGTGCAGATTTCCTGGCTTCTGGCAGCCACGCACTCTTCTCTCTCGAATGCGCCTTCCCTTCCACCAGCTCAATCGAGCGCTCCGTCCTTCGCACAATCGCCACCGCCTTCTTCCCCTTTGCGCTGTTTCTGGCCTTCATTGCGATGTCGCTGGTGGCGACATTGCTGAGGACAATGAAACTTATAAATTTCTTAATCAAGGACCTGATTTCTTTCTGGCACGTCTCCTTCCTCGCCATCTTGTACATTTCGTTCATCGACATGACACGCAACGCCTTGAAGGTCCTGGATTGCGCCAAGGTGGATGAGGAGGGTTTTGGCCCTCCCGGTCTGGCCACTGCCCTGCTCGAGTACTGGACCGAAGACACGGGTGTGGAGTGCTACAAGGGCAGGCATTTAGCCCTCGTGTTGGCGCTCGCCATTCCCACGCTAGCCCTGGTTTCCCTTGGCATGCCCTTGTGGCTGTTGGCCACTCTTCGGTGGCGCAGGGGCCGCTTTGCGGGGTCCGCCCGAGGGGCCTATGCGTTCATATACCAATCGTACCGAGATGAGTTTCTGTATTGGGAGGTGGTCGTCATGATGAGAAAGGGGCTGCTGGCGGCAATCACGGTCTTTAGATTCTCACTGGGCACAACTTTGCAGGCCACTCTGGCTCTTATCGTTTTGGATGTGGCCGTTGTGCTTCAATTGTGGGCAAGGCCTTTTGTCGCAATGAAGCCAGACTTGAACCGGATGGAGACAATTTCCCTTCTCTCTTCCATCCTGGTCTTCTTCGCCGGGATCATCCTCGATGACCCAAACACATCGACGGCAGGGGCGCTGGTTGTGTCTGTGCTCATGACGGTGGCAGTTATGGGTACATTCCTGTACCTGCTGATTGAATTGGTGTCACAGCTGTTGAAGGGGTTTGACAGAGCACTGATCAGCAGGGGGATTCCGCTGTCCGCGGACAGTTCCGTTGTGTCGAGGATTCGGGCTTTAGTCCAATGCGGGCTCTCGTTTATTAGCGGGAGAATCAGCAATGGTTTTCAGAGAGGGTCAAGGAGGAGAAGGGTGATGGTGCAAATGCAACGAATGTCCACGTGGGATTCAAAAAATTGTTAGTAAATACCAAGCTTGCACAGATGTCGAGGGTGGTGTTGGTGTGTTGATAGAGTTGTGCAAACCCCTCAGCTGGCGGGGTATGTGCCATATGCTGGATAACCAGCAATTTTTTTGCGCTGAACAGGGCGCAATTTTGAACGATGAGAGAACAACTTGTTAGTTATCACAAACTATGTGGGATGGTGCAAAAGAAAGCAAAATTTTAAGGATTGTGCAGAAGATGCCTGCATTTTGTGCCTTAGTGAGCCGCAATCAAAAGATGTTTCCCACCCACAATGTTGGTGTGCAGTTTCGTTCGCTCAGCGTTCCGCTTACTAACAGGATTGCATGCAGGAACTTGAACTGTGAACGAATGTTGCTTATCGATGAGCGTCGCACACCACTTTGCCCAGGGGTCAGGAGAAATGCCAGAGTTGTTGTCATGTATCATGGGGACTGCTGACATACTGGACATGCATATCTGACATTGTGGCCTCAAACCAATTGCGATATCTTGTATACTGGTAGCACAAATAAATGCACCGAAGAAACAAACAACAAGTACAAACCAACCAACCATATACAATCAAACAATCGCACACGTGCATCGCAATACTGCCAAACTGGATAGTGCACGATCACGTCATCAAAATCTGGACGTACCTTCTTCCAGGGCGACGGTATGCGAAGGGAGGGAGCATTTGCCGCAGGTTTCAATTTCCCATCACGATTCGTATGTCACCGATCGTATATCATATGTTGCGGGGAATTGAGGGCAGACTCGAATTGCAAACACATGTGGTGGGATATGATGCAATACTGTGTTGAAGCATCATTGATGCAACGACGAACAATTGTGGAGCAAAGCCAGTGCATCGGCACTTTGATGCAGCATTCACACACGCATCAACGCTTGTCAATATTGAGTGGAGAAAGGGCCCTGGGGGCCCATCCCTCCGAGCAGCGGCGGAGTAAGGCCAAGGTGAAAGAAGTTCCCCTTCTGGATAAAAAAGAGCGACGTGTTCTTCATGGCGAGCCAGATTTTGCGCAGGTGAGACGGAGAAGCGTTTTGGCACCGCAGAGAGAGCAGGCACGCAAGAAACTTCGCCACAACGGCCCCCAGGGAACACGCCTGGAGGCACACCTTTCGCACGACCAGCCGTTCAAATACGATATGATCTGTTCATCTTTCACGAATGCGCCCAAGATCTACGGATCCCATCAGCTTCGAAAAGGGAAGATTTCTGCTTCAAACTAAATGCGCAAAACGGTGATGAGGCAGTAGGAATTGCACTGAGGACGTTGCTGAACACACCGGATGTAAGGGACAGAACTTCTGTTGTCATGAATCACGACAACATGATCATGACTCAGGATCATCACCAAGAATTCTTACATATCATATCAGAACTCCTGTTGTCCCTTTGCTCGGGTGTAAAACCGTTGCGGTGGACTCCCAGCCTACGGTTCGCCACCCCACGACCCTCCCTGCCTTCGTCAGCGTCTTTTTTTTTTTGAATTCCAATGTATGGCATCAAAAGATAAACAGAGGAGCTCCCCCGCAAAACATAAACTTCGTCAGTGTCATAAACTTCAGGGCGTCTTTGTCGGCTGGCAGAGCATGCGCGACGGAGAGGTGCGCCGATTTTGCAGCTCGGGCTTCATGGGAAGCCGTGCAAGCGGAGTCGCCAGATGGGAGGGGAGAACAGGGCCTGATCGGCTTTTGCACAGCGGGCCAAATGCTGCGTTGGGCGTCTTTGTTGCGTCGCGGGGGGTACGGGGCAAGGCAGGGCGCCCATCTCGCCACTCGGGCATCCCGGGAAGGCATTCCTTTGGAGTCGCCTTTGGCCAGGGGGAAAGAAGAAAACCTGGTCGAAGCTCTGCGGGAGCATCTCCAGGCCCTGGATCGCGCGGCGAGGACCCTTTCTTCTTCTGCGGAAGATTTGGACGATCGGCGATCGGGGGGCATCATGGGCGCCTTCGCGAGCGTGGCTGGGCATTCTCTGAGAGTGGGCCCTTCTACTGTGCCCGGTGCTGGGTTGGGGCTCTTCTTGGCCTCCGGATCCATCCATAAGGGCGCGATAGTCACATGCTACCCGGGAATGGCCTACGACGCCTCTCGGCTCGACGCGCGCAGCGAAGACGTGGGCGATGAAGCCTTCGCCCCTCTGCCACCGCGGTTCACCTTTCGCAACGGCTACCTGCTGTCGGGGGCCGCTGCGGGCAGGGACCTGATCGTGGATGGCTGCCCAACGGGATTATCTGTTAGAAATTTCAGGTTGGCCGCTGATGACGCCCGGGCGGGAGGCCTGGGCGTCAACGGGGAGTGGTGGAAGGACGGGGAGGATGCTGCAGGCATGATGGCGAGCACAGGCGGAAAAGCGCAGATGTGTCGTTCGAGTGCGGGGGAGGACGTGGGGAGCTCTGGAGATGAATTTGGAGGAGGATGCGCGGCGAACGGAGCGCTTGATCCTGAGGATGTTGGGAGGTATGATCACAGTGTCCTCGCACCCAAGGAGGCGGGGCAGTTGGGCTTCGCGGCTTCCGCGTCGGATCAATCTTCCGTTGCAGAAAAATGGGCCCAGAAAGCTGCTGGGCGAAGGAAAATCGGAGGCTCGCGCATAGCTGGCGAGGGCTTGGTGGACTTCGGGGCCCTGGCCGCTCGACAGGCTGCCATGGGGCACAGGATCAACCACCCGCCCGCTGGAACGGAGCCTAACGTTGATTTCGACATTGTCGCGCTGCCTGATGGGTTCCTTGGAGAGCTGATGCGATTTGTGCCCACGCTGAACGACGCGGTTACCTGCGGAGAGGGGGCGCCGCGGCACGCCGTTGCCATCACCAGTCTGAGGGACCTGAGGGCGGATGGGTCTGGGGGGCCGGTGGAGCTGTTTATGTGCTACGGGAGGGACCCCCTGGAGGTGGGCTACCGAGGTTGATGGCCTCCGCTGCCGCTCGGAGAGGCCAGAGACGTCGTTGGCGATTGATTGATGCCTTTGCCAGGACTGGCAGTGCAGCCATGTGTCGGATTGGCGCTGCTGGTCGGGCTGTTCTTGTGCTACAGGAGGGAACCCCTTGAGGTGGGCTGCCAATTATGATGGGTCCCGTGGACTTTTGCAGTGGTCAGCAGCGTCTTTGGGGATTGCTGCCTTGATGCCTCATACAGTGTACATGAGGAACGTGGCTGTGGGGAACGCAGTAAGAGGGCCAAGGGAATAAGATTTGCCACATTTGAGCCGAAAACAGGTCATATGAAGGGCAGCCCCTCCTGAGCAAGTACATAAGAGACTCCTTTCCATACTGTGAAAGAAGAACGTAGAGTCTCCAAGCGCGAGATGAGGACCGACAAACACAAGGAACACGAACAACATGGGAAACATGGGCATGAGGAGTTGGCTGGTCAAGGTGACGATGTGTGCGAGTGTTGCTTGCAAATGCACATCTCTGGCTGTGGCTTGTGGATGTGTGTTTGATGACTGTTCCATTCCTGAACAACTGGTGGTGGATCTCTGCTGAGCGAATTGATCCCCAGTCGTCTGTTTTGCTGACACTGTTTCTCTCCTGAAGTGATGCCTACCCCTGGGGCTGTAGGCATGCAGGGCTGTTGGTGTGTGGGCATTTGCAAGCCCTGGTCACTTACAAGGTTGCTGGCTGGTAGCTTCTTGTGAGCACTGGCTGGACTTGAGCTGTTTGTGCATTTGCGTCGATCTGATCCCCCATGGTGTCAGAGCCGATGTTCAGTTTCTGACACGTCCTCGTTATTGTTCTGTACATAGAACTCCAAAGCACTGAAGAGCTTCAGGGGAGGGGAAACACCCTCGGCTGGATTGGCACGAAGAGAATGAAAGGATTGAGGCTTGTTATCTTCTGGGATGCTCGCAAGTGAGCCATATGTAAACCTGCTTGCCAGTCCAATTTGGAGAGGAGGCCTGTTGAGAAAGGCGTGGATGCCATTTGTATGTGCATTTGCCAGTCACCATGTGCAATGTACAAGGGTTTTGGTTTGAAGGCGAGTGCAGCACAAGGAATTTTGCTCTTGGGCGTGCCAAATTGTCTTCTGAGGGGATGGCCTGACATCCACCAAGCAAGTCGGTTTGAACAGGGAGGCTGTGGCAGTTTGGATTTTGCTGCCGCTTGTGACCATCTACTGTGCACATCCAGTTTCTACAAGGCCTGACCCCTTTATGGCCTGTATGCTTTAGAGTACACCTTCACCAAGCTAGGTGAGAAGAATTGCTACAGGTTTTCATTGCCACCGGATTGAAGGCTGTGCATGTGAGAGGCGAACACTGACATAGATGCACGTCTGGGAAAGGTGCAACCCTAGGCTTTGACAGGACAGACCACCTTTTATACTCAGGGAAGTGCACGTGAGATACTACTAATCAACTGAGACTGAAGCAATTCCCTCAACGGACGTCCCATTCAATGGGCTCCGCATGGATGTCCCACATCATTTCTCACGACACTGAGAAGAATCTCAACTGGGGCGAGAGACAGCAGGCGAGCCTTTTCGACTTCATCTAGGGTCCACCAAGCCTTCATATGGCAAGTCTATGCAGTTTTGGCTGGACAATCCTGCCAACCAGAGCATCCGCAAGAAGATGCTTCCTCCTTACGGGCCCGCCTGTGGCACTGTTTACGTCGTTGGGCTCCTTCCCGTGGCCTTGACGATTAGCACAAGCTGGGTTCAAAGCACCTTCATGCAATCATGAATTTCTACTCAAATTGGGATATATTGGGCGGGCTTGGTTTTGTGTGACTGGCCTGGCCACAGAATCTCGTTGTATTCTCACTTCGAACTTCGAAACGACTGCCATAAACACGTCTTTCTTGAACCAACGTGCAAACAGCACCATGAATTTTTGACTACCCCTTGTTCGCCGATTTGCAGCCTTCCACACTTGCCGAAAAGCTGCTCACAAGTTCTCCATCTTAACAATCTCCCTCGTGTGTGAACCTTTGAATGAAGAGGGACCCACACCTCAAGCGGCTCGCCGGCTTTGTTTCGAGCCCAACCGCCTCCCTCTCGTTTGTTCACCATTGCAAACCCCGAACTGCTAGAAATCGTTTGGCAGAGCATTGCAGGGATCAGGAAGCAATTGGCATGTCGACAACCAAGTCGGCACTGCATTTTTTTGACCGCTTGCGGTGAAGGGAGGAATCGACAAACGCTTCTTGGCATTAGGACTCCATAGATTCTTGGACTTTGTTTGTGTTACACCTTAGATTCTAAGAGCATCTTTATCGGTGGGTGCTATTGTCCCGGCAAAACTATTCGGCTATCCGAATAGCACCGCACGTCAAAAAACCATCATTAACGGTTGGGGAGCAATAGCACCCCAATAGCACCTCCGGAGCTATTCGGCGCCGAGCGGCGCTATTTTGGCCCCGAATAGCACCGCTCGGGGCTGAGTAGCACCCCAGAATAGCTCCGGTGCTATTCCCGCAGAACATTGTAGTGCTGCCATAATGCCATTTGGCGTAGGCATAGCACCCGCCATTGCGGATGCGCACAGGGGAGCAATAGCACCGGTGCTATTCGGCAAATGGCGCCTTAGTAAGGTGGCTCGGCAGCCAATGAGAACCGTTCCTGGATAGCTCCGCCGGTGCAATAGCACCGACCGATAAAGATGCTCTAATGAACTGAACATAGACACTGCTTTGCTCGGGCAAAACGGCTGGGCTTGTTTCGTAAGAACAATGATGATGATGACGGAGGAAATAGATTGGGACGACCTAACACTATGGACCACAGGCACAGCGCACTGGATTCCCTTTGATGCCCATCCATTCCTGCGTTGGCGTCGGTTGATGCCTCGACAGGAACGCAAGCGGCGTTGGGACGTTGGGGGACGCATCCCCTCAGCTGATGTTGCTGGGGCGCCGCGGGCTGCCGGGCCAACCTCTGCAGCGCTGGTGGACCTGCGGAAAACTGCACAGCCTCACCAGAAAGCTGTACGCAGGGCGCATGGCCTGCAGCGCCCCTGCGGTTCAAGTCGTCTCCGCGGGGCTGCAGGATAAGGTGCGGAGGACACCTGCTTTAATCTGGAACATTAGCTTTGCTGCAGCCAGTGAGCTTACATCCCTCCACCCCCCCACCCCACCCCACCCCACCCCACCCTCCCCCACCCACCCACCCACCCACAACACCCCGCTGCGAGGATGGCTGGGAACTTTGTGTTCATTCACAGCTGCGTGGATGCCAGGGAGCTTAGCGAGTGGGGTTGGATTGACCATGTGTTTGCTGCTGGACGGGCGAAGTGGCTTGGGCACACCTGATCTGTCAAGCTTGATCGCGCTGCTCTGGGGGACGTGATCCAGCGAGAAGTGTTGTGGGATGCATTCCACGAGTTTGTGGGGTTCTTATGTCATGCAGCGAAACGACACGAACGTGCCATTGGCAACATGGGCAGGGAAGGGCATCTATGAGAAATACTGTGTGGCATCTTTGTGGCCCGTATTTGCTCGCCCCAATCTATTCCAACTGAGTACCAAGTAGTAGCTGGTCTCTATCCCATCCACGTGACTGTGCATGTGCCTCCACGCCATGGACTTTCAGGACTCCACTGTGTCCTATTTTGTGCAACAGAACGTGGAGGAATGGTTGTATCAGTTACTGAATTGTGCAAAAGGACGCAGTGGTCAAATGGCACGTGTCTCTACTGAGATCAGATCACTAGACAGCTGTGCATTTTCCTGGCGGTGTGGAAGGGACCAACAATCCTCAAATAGTGAGGAGCGCCCTCACCCGAAGCTGAAGACATGTGTGGCTGTATTGTGGAGGGCAAGGGATGGCGTGTGTCCTTCGAAGTGACAAAATGCTGCTCTTGCACCTCCAGGATGTTGTGAATGGGGGAATGGATGTGTACGCCATTAGCGATCTGCACACTGATCATGAGGAGAATTTGGCCTGGGTGAAGAGATTGCCACGAGGCAGGCATGGCAATGATGTGTTGATTGTTGCGGGGGATGTCAGTGATGACATGAGAATCTTCCGGTGGGCACCAAATTTGATGTTGTATCAAATGTGATTTGATGTCCCGTTTATTTTTTCATTATTTGTTTGAATGTCTCCATCCACATTGTTTGGGCACTGAGTGGGCTTGCATGTACTTAAGGGCCACAATGGATGCTGATTTCTGTTTGGCAAATTGTTTTGTGGTATGGTGCACCGATATGAAATGTACTGCATTGACAACTTATATGCTGACATGTGCATTTTGTAAGAGAAATGCCACTTGCACAGCGATCGAGCATAGTGGCCGCTGGTAACAGTACTTGACTCCCCAAGGTTCCGTCCTGTGTGCCGTTCGGTTTGGCTCTGTTGGCTTTCACTTTTTGCAGCATGCAAGGAATCACTCGTTCACTTATGAGAAGGTGGTGCTGCATATATGACCAGTTTGTAAGTGGCAACAAAAACAGTGTCTCTACCTGTGCTTTGTGGGCATAAGCATAGACTGGATCTGGTGCAAACATGGAATCAGTGAGGACATGCTGACAATCATGCAGCATTCAGGGCTGCTTTTGGAGTTGAACAGACTGTTATTGTTCGACCTTCGATTCTGCAACAGCAGCTGAATTGCATGCAATACTGTTCAGCACAGCATGATGCTGTGAGCAAGAAGCTGGTGGCATGCAGGATCGTCAGCTTCATTGTGCTGTCTGTATCAACAGGGAAACCATGGCTGAACTTGTGGACCGTTTTGGCCACGTGGCCTTTGTGCCTGGGAACCATGAACTGTGGGTGAGAGGCATCGATGGCGACTATGAACAGCGCAATGAGGGGGCCAGGGACTCCTTGGAAAAGCTGCACCGGGTGTTGAATATCTGCACAGAGATGGGGGTGTCTGTGAAGCCCTGCAAAGTTGGAAATTTCTGGCTCGTTCCCATATTGTCCTGGCACCACAGGAGCTTCGACACTGAGCCCGACATACCTGGGATCCCTCCCGCTAGTCCGATGACCATCTCGGTGAGGGCATCTGCCCGTGCAGGCAACAGAGGGGTACATACCCTTTGTAGAAGAGTAGCAGCATTTTGCTGTGCAAGGTGTATGGATTCCTGTTTCATGAATCTGGCAATGTCAGGCAGCAGACACAGGGCAAGATTGCAGCAACGAATCTCCCAGAATGTTTGCTGATCCGATTTCTTATTTCTTTGTATCTTTTGATCTCGGACCCCCAGTGGTCCTTTGTGCAGACTGGGTGCATCAGACAGTCGGCAACAACTTGGGAGAAGCTTGTGGAGATTTATTCAGTGGCTATCATTGGCTCAGTAGCATGCAAGCACAGCAATGTCTGATGGTGACCAGCGCCACGACCTTGGAATTCTATTGCTGGCAGGGTGCTAACAGGTGGTTTTGTGTTTTCCTTGAAGAATGTCATTCTTCGCACTGGCACTTTCATTGCATTGCCTGATGTGTGAGAAGACGACCATTATTCATATGTTTGCTTGTTGTCCGTTTCTGATGTGTGTTTGCTTTTTCTTGTATATTTATTTTTCAATTGTTAAATACCTATATTTTGGTCTGGGCCTGAACTGCTGTTTCAGGCAATGCAGACACAAGTGAAGATGCTAATCTTGCACTTGCGTCCCCTGACGTTCTGAAAGTTGGCTCGCTTAGTTGTTGATATTCAAACCATTCGCTCGCTCCTTGTGCACCAAACGTGGTAATTGAGGACTTCCCTCGCTTGCACCTGCAGGATTACAGGCACTGCAAATGGTCACTGTGTAGTCATGAGAATGGCAGCGAAGCGATCGCCGAGTACATCGATGCTCTGAACGATGGGTCGTGGGTTGAGAGCGTGGATAGCTCATCCAATGATGTCATTTCCTTCTCTCATTTTCTGCCCCACATTGAGCTGCTGCCAGAAAAACGCTTCCTGTACTACCCCAACATAGTTGAGTGAGGACGCAGACTTGTAGGTTTATCTTGTGATTTGAATTCTGTGCGTCGTGTTTTTTGATTATCAGGCCTATGTGTGAAATGCTAAAACTGTGTGCATGTGCTTGTGTTGTTGTTGTTGCTCATTTCGAGTTTTTGACATATTGGAATGGTATTCTATTGGACCCTGCCAAACTGTCAGTGTTGTCCATGCCCTGCTATCAATTCCCACTACGGAGGCAATGTCACACCAAACTTGGGGCTGCCAAAAGGGCATGTGTGTGCACTTTTATGTTCTGTTTTTCGTGCATTTTATGTTGGGGTCTGCAGTGCGTACTCACAGATTGTGAATGTGGTTCCACCCCATCGTGTTTGGATCCACCTTGCTGTGCCATAAACACTGGGTATTGCCTAATCCTTGGTTTAGACTTGAAAATGGCAGATGTGCTGACAAAGAGTCTCAGCAGGGATGGACAAAATGGATCTGCAAAGCTGCATGGACTATCCATGTGATTGATTCAGCTACAAAACTCAGAGCGAGGTTGGATTTTAACTTACAGCCTTCTGAGCTGATTGGTTCAATGGAATGCACAATGAGCAGGCTGTGGTTTGGTTGTCAACTTTTGTCGTGTTTATCAACAGGCAAAAGTCGTGGGATCCGATCCACTGAAGAGGCGCATCCAAAAGCTGCGTCCGCATCTCCACATATTTGGCCACACCCATTTCGGTTGGGATGCAGTAGTTGACGGTGGGTGCTGCTGGACAGCAAGCTTTGCACAGCAAGCTTTGCACAGCAAGCCTTTGCCAGTGGATTTATGCAATTTCTGTGGATATTGGTTTAGTAAGTAAATCCAGGGACGTAATGTGCCCCTGGCAGCGAATGGGGTGTTTGGGACGTTTTTGAATACTGCTTGGATTATGTGCAGGTATCATTGCAGCCATCGGGACGAAAGTGCATTGGATAGTCATACCCGTGTCTTTGCAGATCTCTTTCATCAGTGCATGCACACTGCACGTGTGGGTGTCCTTAGCAAGTACACCCGGTGTTGAAAGGGAGATTACAAGTTACCCCAGTCAACGATTTGGACCCTGAGATAGGGAACATGGTTGAAACCCATTCGGCTCTCCTTGTTTGCTGCACTTAGGTTCGGGTCCTGAGGCTGATCTGTTGTGCCAAACCTCGGAATGTGTGTTTGATGAGGGTGATCACCATTGTGAGAATCTGTTGTGAGATCCAGTCGGACAGTGCTCACACGTGGTGTGCAGCTGTCAGTCAAGTGCTCAAAACGAAGTGAGAAAGCTTGCGAGCGCATTTGCATACCTGTTATTTGCTGTCACTCTGCTGCGACCGTCTGCAGCTGAGCGCTGTGCAAGCGTGCGGCAGCCATCTTATTGCATCATTTGGTTGGGACGGTCCCCTGTGACAGTCCAGCGCCACTGACTGTAGCATTCCTCGTCGCAGGCGTGCGCTACGTCCAGTGCGCTCTGGGCTACCCCAAGGAGCGCCAAAAGAGGTACCCCTCCATGCTGCTGTCGCAGAACCCCCGGGAGCTGATGGAGACCCCACCTGAGTCGTCGCGGGTGAAGAACCCCACATTCCTTCCTGCCCTCGTCTACACCTCCACCAGCTGCCAACAGGCAGAAACACCCCCCCTCCCCACATCTGAAAGTGGGGATGCTGGCGATGGATCACCACAGGCAAAGGCATCTGAGGGCACGGTGCCCAACGGCTTTGGAAGAGAGGACGAGTCCCGAGATGGCGCAGTCAGTGTGTACCCAGCGGCAAAGGGGCGCATGCAACCGCTGCACTCGAAATGGAGCGACTATTACCAGTCCAATCCCAGGACGCCGGAGAACTTGACCCTTGCGCCGTGGGCAGCCTCAAGGTACCAACAATCGAAGCGCAAGGCATGAAAAGGACTTGGCCCAAACCGCTCCATTCCCCAAAGGTGTGAGGTTGCTGGTTTGTCACCCTTTGACGAACGTGATCAGGGGCATGGGCTCACACGTCAGCGTCGTTTGTCCAACGCTGGGAAGGCGGGCCGCCTCTGCTTTGGTTCATCAAGAGCTGCAATGGCGGAAAGATTGGTTGGTTGAGTGCTGGTTGGATGGCGCTGCATACACCCGTTTTCTCATGACGGGCATGGTCAGAATTGCATTGCACACACAGGATAGGGCAGGAGGGAGGCTCCTGTCGCTATGTTTTTGGGCTCATGGCATGTACAAGACGATGGAAAGTGTCTGACTGGTTGCCCAGGTTGGCGCTGTGCTGTTGGTACACATCGCCCTTCCTGTCGATGAGCTGAGGCGAAGCGGGCGTGCTTCCTCTCAAGGGCAAGTGCTGGGTGTTCAGTCTTGGGCGAGGCGTGCATTCGGGCGTGCATTTCGTTGTGTCCAATACACCGGCGAGTCAAATGTGTGACACGCGCCTTGGACACTGTAACGTTCCATGTGGCGCTTGAGAAATGCAAATTCAGTTCAGGTCAGCTGTGCTGGGCATAGCAGATGGCGTCCAGAACAAGGCTATGCATGCACGACACTGTCCATGCCCAGCCAGTCTCCATCATGCAACTGGACAGATGCAGTCGCAACAATTCAATCCACATGACTCCCAATGCAGCACATTCAATCGCTGATGTATCCCAACCTCATCGACGCGAACAGTGCCCCTATGCGCCCTGGCTCTTCTCTTGTTTTCTCGTTCCCCAAACTACCGAATCGTGCTGCTCCACACTGTAACCCGCCCGACGCCTTGCACATGCCACAGACATTGGCAATAACCACAACGGCCCACACCACACTGGGGTATCTCGAGCGGCGTGGATTCACCATCTCCTATACACTTCACCACAGGCCTCAATGCAGAGGCAAGTGGCAGTGCACTGGCACTGACACGTTGCGAATGGAAATCTCAACTCGCTCGTTGTTCGCTGACACGTTGCGAATGGAAATCTCAACTCGGCCCAACTGATACACTTCACTGCATGTGTCGATTTCTCACTCACTGGCCCCTAGCCTTGTCCAGGCCGTATGAGGGGATGTCCCCACCTCACCCACAGCTGTGGGTCAATGGTGGTTGGCCATTTGGGAGTCCTTTGGGAGGTTGATCGGCCAGGTGGGGTCTTGAGTTGAGTTGAGATTTCCATTTATAGCGTGTCAGCCAACATGGGCTGTGTCGCCACCCTGCCTCCAAGAACACATGTCCATTGTTTGTCCCCGTGTATGGCAGTACGTGCGCATGTCCACTTCCCTCTGCACTGAGGCCTTTGATAGTTTTGTGGGTTTTTGTATCACTGGGCATGGTGCGCGTGAGAGGCGGCTGCGTCATCCCGCCTGCGGAGGGCCTGATCGCGGCAGGACGCCCTGGATCCCCAACGAGGGGCCCAGATCAGGGCCGATGCCCGAGCTCTAGGCTCAAGGAGGGGATGTAGTTCTTGTCGTGTGCTGGAGCGCAACACGTGGCTTACTGTTGCTTCACGTCATTGCTTTGTGAAATGGCCATAGTGCGACTGGTGATTGACAGCTGATGAGTCACGGCCACGTGTATTAACCTCTCTAAAAGGGGCTACCAACCCAGATGCGTCTATTCAGTGCTTTGGGTTGGGGTTCAGGGCCGGCTTGCATATATCGATCAATGCTGTATACCTGGAGAAATATAAGATTTTAGTTGAAGTTTCCAACAGAAGATCTAGAATGTAAATAAAATAACAATATGTATAATTGCAGGTATCATTACTAAATTGTACGTCATTGAGTAGTTGATTCTGCAAAGTGCTGGCTGCAAATTGTGTACCACATGGTTGAATGTTCGGTAGCCACAGAGACTGGCGAGCAGCCAAAAGCACGAAAGGGCAATTGGACCCCAGGGGCGGAGCGCTGCGCATGGGGCCCAACCGCCTGACCATCGCAGCCTATCGCGCCCTGCTGCGCCAAGCCGGCACCGCCAAGCGCGACAGGATCCGCACGACGGTCCTGGAGCCCGTGGAGAAGGGGCGGCATGCCTGGGGCAGACATCGGTGGACGCACGTGGGCAAAGGTGAGCTGATTAAATCTGGATCTGGGTCGGGCGGGGAGAACCGAGGTGCCATTGCTGTCTGCTTTTCTGGGATTTTATTGCGGGTTTTATTTTGGTGCAGTGGAGGCGAATTTGGCGATCTCTTGTTGGAGAATATGGTGTGCTGGGATGCTGTGGGGTGCTTCGAGATGGGTGTCTTATTCCTTGTTGCAACAACCAATGGTTAAACAACAGGATGTGAGCGACACCACCAGCATAAATCAGTAACGAAAATCAACAACAGTTGATGTCCACTCCCATTCTGCCTGTGGGCATTTGTGAAGGGATTTGAGATGGGTGTGGGACGCAATCACCGGCTGGTGGGTCTTTCAACCGCCTTGATTCTCCTCTGTCGATGGCGCAAGGTCGTTTGTGTTGTCGAACGCGCTCTTCGCTGGCGCTCTCTTGGTCGCATGTGGGTGGCATTTGCAACGGGATGCGGGTCCTGTGCATTGTCCCTGTGCATATTCCCTTTGCTCCTTGCAACTATTGGGGTAGGATTTGACAGGTGGGCGGGTTTGAACCGTGGTGCTCTGCCCCAAGAGAGCTGTGAGCCTGTGTCCAACGGTTTTGTGCCCTTTGCGCATGGTTTGTAAATTTCGTACTGAGGTTTGCATTGTTTTAGTCTGATTGGAGCATGCATTGTGAGGTCGTTGTAGAAGCCTGGGAAACCTGATGCTGTCATGTAACGTGAGCTCAGTAGAGATTCGTGCCCTGATCAGTGTGCCGCATTCATGTCACATGCGAGGGCCACATTCATTAATTCAAGTAAGACTGCAGTTTGTTGTTGTTTTTTTCAGAGCACCGCAGATCATTGCTGGAGGCCTTGCTGCCTGGCCTCAATGGGGTCCCTGAAGCGGCAACCTTTTCATCTGAAGAGCTGAAGCAGTGCATCAGGTTGAACTTCAGGCGGGATCTGGACGCTGAGCGCTCCCCTGAGGCCATGACAAAACAGGCAAACAAGTCCAGAGATACTTGGTTTCGCACCCAGGCAGCAACGCCGTGGTCTTGCAATTCTGGGGCTTTGGTTTCCAGAGAAATATGTACGAAAGCCTGCCATGTTGGAATCTTGTCGTCTGAATTCCCATCCTGTTGCCATCAGGTATGTTCTGGCAACTGCAGGGAAACCAAAGGTTTTGGCGTGCACATGTTGCTGCCTGCTTCATGATTTCCCGTATCTGTAGACAGGAGATTTTTGACGCACTGAGCATGTACCTCCAATGTACAGATGTAGTTGCGATGTCATGCACAGCTCATCATGCCCCGCCTTTATGAGCAGTCTGTTCAATTCTGGGGATGCCTTGGTAGGCTCTCATTCGTTTCTGTGGTGATTCAAAGGCCTTTGCATTGTCACAAACCATTTGTCAGAAGCGTCACCTGGTCAAACTTGGTACCAGATTGTAGAATTTGGTGTATGCCCAACTCAACTGCTCAGCTCAGGGACTCATCCCAACTATGTTTTCTTGATGTAATGTCTTGACACAGAAACAGCTCACCTTGAGCAAGTGTGTTGAGGAACAAGTTCGGATCTTGTTGTGTCAGGCGATGGCGTCCATGCGCATCCTTGGGGAGCAGTTGCATCTGAACAAGTGTTCCAGCTCGGCGAACACCAGAGGCGTGCAGGTGGATGTCACCTCAGCCTCCAGTGGTTCGAAAGTTAGTCCGTGGAATCCTGGCGAACGTGTGTATGACTTCTCTTACAGAATTCGCCTTGCCAACCGTGGGTGAGAAACTGTTGGCCCCTGCTCATGGCGGTCAGTCAGGATTCCAGCCATGTGATTTGTCAAGATCGAAGGTCACATTGCTTGCAATACTGTGACATGCACGAACTTTACGACGGAGCCTCACGCCATTGTTGTCTCTGAACCACAGGATGACACTCCCCACAGATGTGCTTGTGGGTCAGCTGTGCAAATTGTCGGAACAAAAGAGTTCGGAATGCAGATGTCACATGTGCCTGTTCATCGCAGTGTTTTTGTTGTTGGGACAACGCATTCAATGTTGGAGTGCACCTCTCACAGAATTGGGCTCAACAGCCTGCAGCAGTGTCACTGAAACTGTAGAGTTCAGGGCTGAGCATCCGGTTATCAAATAACAGGAGCATCATTGATTGTTGCTGCAAGTTGCTGGCAGTTTTCTGAAGGAAAGTAATGGATGTCAGTGTTGTCAACGCCAATGCACATTCGGTTATCAATTTGGGTGCAAGAACTTTGGTTTGGCGTGTGCGATGGAATGTAATCACAAGGACCACATTTTAATACTAATTTGCGCCTCCAGCGTTATGGGGTGCTGTGCAATGTCTGTTTAGTTTGCTGCCAATGCGCTGTTCAAAAGTGGCACCTAATCCATTAAATTATGTAAATCTACGTTTTGGGGAGTTCAATGTTGTGTCTCGATCGACATACTTGATGTGAACACCTAGCCAGCCACAAGGCATGGACTCTAATGTTTGCATTTGTGTTGCTCTGCAGCACTGAGAAAGTGCAGCTCATCGGAAGGCACTGGATCATGCAGGTGTGCAGTAACCACTGGGACATGAAATGGGTCGGCACAACCCAATAGGACATGTATCCATCTAAGTTGCACAATGCCAGAAGGCATTCTCCCCAAGTCCACATGCTTGCAGATTTCAAATTACTGCACATACTAATTCTGGCTCCTGGCCTCAGTGGGCAGGCACCATGGCATATCAACCCAGACAGGATTCTTGGCGCAATTGACTCATCAATGCAGTCGTGGTAGAAATATTGCAGTGTGCATAGGCAATTGCTTGCATTGCAAAGAAGGGCTCCCTGACGTTTATTTTGCCCTTGCTAGCCCACTGGGAGCACTTGATGAGTTGGCTATCATCGGCACTACAGAATTCAGGGGTGAGACATGCTCAGATAAGTTTCGAGTGTGCCGACAGGATCATTTGTGGCTGTTCAGGAGGCTGGACATGCTCCAGTGGTGCTGGTTCCAAAGAAGTCGCCAGGGGTGGTTGGTGAGTGTGAATACAGTTCCTGCCTAATGCATGAATGGGGCTACATTGAACAGAGAAGACTGTGAGTGCATGTTTAATTGCAATGTGTGTTGCTCTGTAACACCAGCTTTGCTGTCATGAATTGAAACTTCTGCATGGCCTTGCAGTGTACCAAAAGGAAACATCAAAGTCTGTTCAAGGAGGGGTGTGCCCTTTGCATGCTCTGTTTTGTGTGTTTGCGGTGAGAGTCTTGAGCACGTTGCAGTTGCGGAGTTTGGCCCATTTCCTGAGAATATGGGTGCGCAGCTGTGCTGCAGTGGCACGAAAAAGAAAGCTGGTAGCAAATTTCATTTCAGGCGGTTTCTGACCTGTGCTGAGTACCTTACAGTGGTACCAAAATGAAAGGCTTTGTCGAGCATCAGCCCAGTCCCAGAGCCCAACATACAGAAAGCTGCAGTCTTCTTGGTGAGCATTTAGCCACAGCACAAGGCTGTGTAGCAACAGACAGCATTTGATGGCAATAACGACCATTCAAATTGGATAATCACGTGTGGGACGCCAAAATGAATTGCACTATGGATTGGCCAACATGACCCAGTTATGGCCATGGTGAAAGCATCCCCACAGTTGCTGGCTGTCGGTTCACAGCTTGTGCGACAATGGCTCATCTCTCACGTCTGTTATTCTTTTGCGGGCTTTGCAGGTCAGCTGCCTGTCCTGCTGCCAGGGGCGGACAAGTGCTTCGAGTATGTGAGCGGAGTTCAGTCATCCTCCCCCAGGGCGCAGATGTGGGGCAGCTTTCAGGTGCGGCATTCCGCCCACAAAGAGGCTCCCAAACAGCACATAGCTTCTTTTGGGCAAAAGGAACAGGCAAACCACTGCACTCAAACCTTAGGGCGGCGACGTGCACCACTCCATGTGCTTTGTGTGTTGAGTACTGTTTTCTTAATTGTTTTTCATTTTTTTGTCTCTATGGCTTAAACCACAGCATAGAGGTTTGACGCGAGTCGAGGTTGCAAAGTTGGTGAATAGTGGGAAGGCTGGTCATACATCAGGCAACTCCTCTTAGTTAGGAAGGCTGTGAGACCTTGTAGGCCATGATATACAATGTGACGCGGAGGTCTCCAGCGCCACAGGGAAACTCATGACACTCACTTCTGTGAGTCAAAGGACTATGGTGGCACTCTCCCAAACATTCGAAAACAGTGGCCCTGCACCAGCGAGGCAATGGCCGATGCAACTGCAGCAGACGTCAGTTGTTCAAGAACGTCCGTGAGTACATCCTGGCTCGATATTCAACAAGTCTGGAAAGGAGAAAATTAGCTCCAAGCACCTGCAACGAAACGGACAGGGCTACCACCATCATAGTGGGCAGTGTAGCTGATATGTCCACTCTCTGTGTGGTATGCGTAGACACATCCAGAAACATCTGCACCTCCAGATGCAACATAAGTCCTATACTGCTGGTGTTAATAGGGACAGTGCCCTTTGTCGAAGGTATGAAGCTGCTTGTGTTTCTTTTGTATCATGCATCAGCCATATGTTTTTTGTTTCTTCTTGCCTGCATGCATGAGTCTGCACATGGAGGCGCTCGCTTAGTCTTTGCAGCAGCAGCGGCAGCAGGAGCGTCTGTGTCCCTTGCGCCCTCCCCACCCACACCACTAAGGATCGATATGCGCAGAAAGGGGCCTCCAGTGCCTCAAGTGTCCTCAGTGCTTCACCTGGCTACGCTTAAAGGCGCAATCCCATGACCTTTTGCCTTTTAGTGAATTAGATCCGCTGAGCTTTCGCTCAAGCTGCAGAGTCAGTGTGTTTTGTCAATGCATGTAGCCAATTATTTGTTACTTTACATATTGTACATCTAACTATTTACTAACTGTTTTACTTCCTGAATGAAGTTGTATTTAACATTTGTACTTCCTCCGTCCCCGATTAGCTGTCCCCTATTCGATTGCCAAATTTCGTTGTGAAAAACGGTCTCTGAACTCAAGAGCAGGTCAGAATCGGAGAGACTGGGTCGCAAAACCCTTGGCTGTCAATTCTGGACAAAAGTGAGCCCCACACCTTCTGACATCCCTCGAAGTCGCCCAAGATTTGTCAAAAAATGTGTACCCTGATTCTGCGTCTTCTGGAGATCAGCACTATTACTAGTCGCTCCCGTCCAAGGTGTGCCAAAGTAGTTGCCGCCGTTTGTGGCGAGGGGCGGCTGTGTTTATCCATCGTGAAGTCGTGCTACACCCCGTCGTGAAGAACGGCCATTATCCAGACGATGTTTAGAAGCCGAGGGTTTCTGGCCGAGGGCCCTTGCTACAACGTGCTGTCAAATCCACAGTACTTCATATATTTACTTGATTCTTCGTCCGTACACTCCAAACTCACATGCGCGACTTTGGACAAAATTCAGATGGAAATTGAAGTCTGTGTGATGGAGAAGAAGGTGCCAGAGTCATAGAGGACGATTGATTTGGGACGGAGCACGTTTTTGTTTTACTTGTTTAGGAAGCAGCGGTTTCTATTTACTACTTCCTCCGTCCGGAATTAATTGTCCTCTATGACTTTGGTGCCTTACTTCTCTATCATAGAGACTTCGTTTCTCATTCAAATTTCGTGCAAAACTACGCCTAGGTTTTAAGAGTATGCAGTCAAAATTTCAAGTCAATCCGTTGAGTATTGCGGATTTGGCAGCATTTTGCAGCAAGGGTCATCTAGCCAGAAACCCACCAGTTTTTCAACATCCGTGCTGGAATGGCCATTTTCGCTGTTTTGAGGAGCACGCCTTTGCGGCAGCGCTATAGAGCCGCCTTGGCAAAACTATCCACGTCATTTGGACAGAAGATCATGGAGGTGCTGTCAAAGGAAAAGGGCAACAGGAAATGTGTCTTGAAAGTCTTGATCGTGGAAGTCGCCGTGTCTTGCGGCTGCAATTCAAGTTCGATTGGCCAATTCAAAGATGCCCATTAGGTCCAAATTTCTGAACCACGACTTTTGGACCTCCAACTCCACTATGAGGTATACTGCAAGAGGCCCCGCAAATTCCTAGCAGACCTTTAGGAAGGTGGTGGCCATCACCCCATTCAGCGGCGGATAATTAGGGGGCAATTAGGGGGAAATTAGGCAATGACC